ACTGGAACTCATGACCATGTTAAGATCAGGCTTTAGGAAACTCTAGAGGAAACTTCTGGGGTGAGTAAACAGCAACAAACATCAGAGATATTAGACCCCACAAACAAAGAGATCGGGAAAAAATAATATTCACTTGCCCAAGGGAAAACCAGAGAACAGTGGTTTACAGTGATTGGTCCATTGAGACACCACAGAGGAGAACGGCCCATCTCTAACTGCCAGCAGTCTCCCCGTAAAGGAAGCTGAGAGAAATAAAGTGATTATAGGTTTTATCTAGTATGTAATAAAGTTACCTTGAGATTGGGTGGGGTCATAGCACAGACTTGTTAAGTAACAAAAGCCTCTCAAAGTCAGTCCTTAAGATCACAGAACAGCTTTGCTCAAAGGTGGAGAGGTGATGGAAAAACCCTGCCCCCTTCCCCACAGGAGTGGACAAGCTGAGAAACTTGTCTAAAGTGGCATTACTTTGCCAATCCCTATGGTTTGAAAGGCACCTCACTGGAGCTGCTGGGCCAAGGGGCAGGCGTATATTCAAGAACCCCATGCACTAGTTATTACTAATTGCAAAATCCTCATGTGTTACAGCATGCTAGGAATTAGCCAACAGCTGCTTTTAGCTTTGGTAATGAGGCCCCATTACACTCTGCTGGACGGAGTTCTCTTCCTTCTTCCTCGCACTGGTTTCCTGTCTGATTTTCTTCCAAAACAGGGAATTGCCTCCGCTCACATCCTGGGCTCAAAGCCCTAGTGACACAGATTATTCAATCGGGGCACTGATGTCCGGTCTGATTTCCCATCCAGGCCCCTGGGTCTGAGCAAAGCCAGGCGGCAAAATTGTCATATTTCAATGATGACTGCCACAGAAATGGCAGCCAAAGAACAGACAAATCAAAAGATCCCTTCCTGATTCGGGAAGCAGAGGACCGTTTGGGGATTTGCTGAACTGGAAAGTGAGGGAATGGGTATAACTGACTCCAACCCCCTTGCCTAATGATGTTTGGATTTGATAACAAACCACCAACGGGGCTGGAAAGCAAACAATATCAAACACTTTTACAATGAGATTTTAAACTCATTGCCTTGGTGCTTGTCACTAAGGGTGCGCTGACTGCACCTTCCATGCAGGCTCTCTACAGTGGGTGCTTATAGGGACACCAAGGGAGATAAAGGGAACACAGGAAAGCCATTCTGGAGACTCACCAGGTATGGAGAATCATTTTGGAACAAGGTGACTCAGATCCCAAAGAACCCTGTTTCCATTTTAGTCTCCAGCAGGGTTCACCCTCCCTGGAAGCCCACCCCAGCCCCTCCTGGCTGGCTGGCCTCTAGAGGCCAAGGCCACCGCCTTACCAGAGCAACTCTTGCTGCAGCCAACTTGGCTAGAGACTCCGCAGATCCTGACCAGAGGGCTTCAGGTTGTGGTGGACTTTTAAGCCAGCTCCCTCACAAGTCTGGGGGCCGGTGGGAGGCTGCTACAGGCACCCCCCCAGCACCCCCCCACATGCACACCAGCACCTTTCTGGTATTTATAGACACACAGATCACACACACAATCCCTCCAGTGCAAACCAGTCCGGCTGCTTTAGAAACAAGTTGTTTTTCTGCTTTCAGAACCACCCAGGAGCCTAAACGAGGTCTCTTCCCCCCACTTCTCTCCCTAGGCGTGCTTGTCCCAGGTACCTCCACACCTTCAAGGCACCCCTTCTGATGGCAGTGCAGGCTCCAGCTCTGATCCTAACTGAAGATGGATGGGCCCAGGGCACACAGGGGCCACCCGGGGCCAATCAAGGCTGCCGTCTTCCTTCCAGACCCTCGTACCTGATTCCCAGAAGCAGCAACCCTCACTCTCACTCCGGATTACTTGGAGCCCAACCGTGTTTCCGAGTCCCCAACGTCCATCAGAAATTAACTAAGACTGATGGAGAAAGAGCGGGAGAGGGCTTTCCCGTAGGAATAGAGGAGGGTGCAAAGATTTTTTTGGTCCACCAAGGAGAGAGAGGGAAAGGGGGAAAGGAGGTAACAGGCTTGGCGCTCAAGGAGCTCGTCTGGATCAGATGTAGTGGGAAGGAAAGGGTTTGCTGGCTTTCAAGCCCACTCCTCGCTCCAGTTTTAAAAAGAGAAAAGTGATGGGATGGGCAGGACAAGACGAAAATCCAGAACTTACAACAGTGGCCCATTGGAATTTTCTCGCCAAGCCAAGAAAGGGGAAAGAAGCAAAGAAGGCAGCGGCGGCGAGAGGAGAGGAGGTCCGCCCGCGCCGCCAGGTGCACCAGGGCCCGCACCTACCTGCTGGCCGCCGCCGCTGGAGTAGGACTCGGCGTGCGCAGGAGAGCCGCTGCTGCCCCGGGACGAGGTGTCAAAGTTCCCGGGATAATCCTGGTACATGATCCGCGGTGGGGGCCCGAGAGGAAACAGGGTGTTTTTCTTTCCCCGCCCTCGCCGCGGCCGCGCACCGGCTGCTGCGCGCTCGCTCCCTGCCG